AAACCTTTCTAAAACAAAACTATCCAAAAAGTTAACGAAAGAAATACCCAAACGTGAAGCTATTGTTTCTTGGCATAGTCTCCATCAAAGAGGGCTACAGTCGTTTGAAGACAGTGTTTCCATCTCTCTAACCCTTGCCCAAAGACTTTTGTACTCTTTGATTCACACCGCATCAAAACAGCCATGTGGCCATCCTCGGGGGACTCCGAATGCATTCCCTTTAAATGGTCTCTGAGTTTCAGGAACAAAAAGAAGTCTGGAGGGACAAGGTCAGAGTGATGAGGAGAGGCTTCCCAGTGACGTGCTTGGAGGACAGTCCTGACTACCTTCCATCAACGAGCCAGTGCCGTGTCGTAATGGGGAAAATGGGTTGATGCAACCTTCCTGACCTTTAGCTGACCAATACAGCTTTCCATATCCTGGAAGCTGCCTCGCACTAAGTCCCCATGACACCTTATGTGCTTCAATGACATCTATCAGGATGACCCTTTTGACAGCTCAACTCACCGCTGCCATAACCTCTCAACTGCCCCCTCTGTCTGGGATCTCCATAGGAGTCACTGTTTGGATTGGACTTTGGGTTGCAGAGCACCCTAATGAGAGTGACGAGACAAGGGTATTGCTGAGAGAGCTTGTCTGCCACTGGCCACTGATGACAGGGGCGTGTTTGAACACGTGTTGGTTGGAATACGCCAGCACACGTCAAATTGACACGCTGGTAACAACCCTTCTTTACTTACCTTCAGATTTGCAAGTTCTAAGAACAAGTCAACCCAACGGCCCTGCACCTGGGGCACGACGAAGAGGCTGTGTGGTTGAGTTTATTTATGCCCTGCCTGTGACGGTGCCAAACTCTGAAACACTCACTCACCGGGAAACATTATACTACTGTTACCGGTTGTCTACAAATGCACAACAAAATTCCAAATCATAGCAAAGACCAGACTGACTGGTCTGGTAGAGACTGGGGGAACCCCAGGCTGTGGTCCTTAGACACCTTCCAAGCTGGGACTGAAACCACCCCTGGGATCGCCTGGCAGCCAAACAGCAGGCAGGCCCATAAATCGAACAATAGCACTCCTGCGAGCATACTCCCCAGACAATTACCCACGAGTTCAAAAGGCCACACAGCAAAGCAAAGCACTGGAGGCAGGAAGGGGCAGGGGCACCCAGGGAAGAAGTGAGAGGAGGGCTCTCACCCTGAGGGAGCTGCAACTAGGTTGTGAAGTAAAATGAGCATCAATTGTTGACCTGGAATGGAATCTGCTCTGTAAAAATTCACCCAAAGCACAATAAATACGTGTGTGTGGTTTACAAAGTGCTTAGAGCATGGAAAATGTCTTATATTAAAGGGGGGAGGGAGTACAAACTTGAAATGAGTTACTTGCCACAAGTCTCTAAAAGCGAGCAGACAAAAACTCCACACAAGCAAAAGGCTAGCAGGGGAAGGTCTCAGATGTTAACAGTTATTGGTGGTCCCAAGCCCTCCCTTTTTTCTATTTTCCGCTGTGTGTGTGTGTGTGTGTGTGTGTGCTGCATACACACACATTACGATCAAGAGAACATGACATTGCTAATAACTAAGAAACGCTTTATTTTCCAAATGGCATTGCAGACGTGGTGAACGGTGAAGAGGCTGCAGGGGTTGAGAACCTGCCTGCCTTAATCCAAGCCGCCCCACCCACTACTGGGTGATGCCCTTCAGAACTGAGCCTGGCTAGACAGCGCCCCAGGGCCCTGCAGGTCGGGCCTTCCCCACCCCAAAACCACAGGACACTTAGCAAGGGAGAAAGCATCCCGTAGCTATAGCTGTGCTGGAAATGCTACCTCCAGTCGGGCAGTATACCCCACCGGTGGCAGCACCTGCGCCAGCGCCCTGAAAGGGTTAACCTGGTTCCTCAGGAATTCCCAGAAAGTACTCCTGGGAGGAATTTCCCAGACTGGCAGACAGACACAGACAGACAGACACCTCAGACTACTTCAGCCACTGAGCACACAGATGTTTGCCTGCAGGGTGGCGGTGCTGAAAGCCAACACATCTTTGCGGTGAGAGGTCGCCCAAGGCTGAACCGCGATGAGACCCCGCCAGAGCAGACTAGAGGCGGGGTGAAGGAGGCACCCTGGCAGAGTTGGTGCCCAGGGCCCCCAGGGCAAGCGAGTCCTTCCTGTTGTCCCGGTGTAAGTCACACAGGAACTGCAGTTCTCCTCTTCGTCCAGCAGGCGTCGCGGCTCTAGGTGCGAGGGTGGGTCCTGGGGTGTCTGGCTGGCTGGGCAGTCGCCTTTAGCAAATTTGTTGTATAACTGGTAGTTTTGTTTATTTATCCTACAAGTCTCCTGGGGACAGGGGGGCGGGGACGTCCCCGGGGACTGGGATTTTAATTCAAGCTCACCCTTACAACGGGGCCCACCACGGCGCCAGGCCCCAGGGATGCTCCCTTAGGTCGGTTGAAGTACTCCACGGGCTGGCTGGTGCGATTGAAGCCCGAGTGAGAATGGCACCCCCGGGAAGGAGGGCCTAGCGTCCCGCCCGTGCCTGGACCCCTCCCCTCCCTCTCCGCCCGGCTGGGGCGCGCTCCTGAGCTCGACGCCGGTGGGGTGGGAGCGGCGCAGGCCCCCACCGGCTGGGCTGAGCGAGCCCGAGCCCGCCCAGGCTAAGCGACGCAGTCCCGGGACCCCACAGGTCCATGCCCAACCCGGCCATCCAAGGAGCGCGGAACCTCCCCCTAGCCGCCCCCCGCAGGGGACAATCCTGTGCCACGCTCTCTAAAGCGCGCTGGGCTCCCCCGCTCCTCGCGTTGTTTGTGGCTTTTCGGCGCCATCTCGTCCAGCAGAAGCTAAAGTTCACTCAACAGTGATTTCGCTCACTCAGCAAATATTTATTGATCATCTACTGTGTGTTCCGTGTAGCGCAGGGCTCTGGAAAGACAGCAGCGAACAAAGCGGCCAGCTCCCTGCCCACAGGTGGCTTCGATTCAGCAGCACGTGTGCGCTGGGATGTAGTCTGGAGGGGGGGGGCGGTGGAGGCCCTCACCTAGCTGTACTCCCAGGTGAGCCAGAGGCACCTGAGGCGCCGCCCGGGGCCACGCCGCAGGTAGACTTCGGCCCTGGCGGGAGGGGCTGGCCGCAGGTCTGGGGAAACACGACACCAGGCACGTCGCCCGGGGCAGGTGCGCCATGGGTGGGGGTTAGCAGAGGGGTGGGGGCGGTTAGCCGTCCCAAAGCCCGGCCTAGACGCAGCCGCGGGCTTCCTGGGCCAAGCACGCGCTCGGCGCTCTGTAAACATCCACGCGCCGCAAGTCAGGCCTCCCGCGGCCTGCACCCTGCGGGGGGTGCCAGCCGGCCCGCCCCGCCCCCACCGCGCCCGGGCTCCCCCGCCGCGGGCTCAGCGCCGGACTCGGCGCGGCGTCCGGGCCCCGCGTAATTACAGGGGTTGTCGCCAGGCCTGGCTGTAAAAGAAGGGGATGAAACGGCCTGGGAACAGGGAAGCTGGGCCCGAGCTGGCAGGGGGCCTCAGGCCCGCGCCCTCCCGCGATGCGCAGCCGCCCGGAGGGGTCGGCCTGGGGTGCTGAGAACCACGCGGGAGACACGCACACGAATAGTCCCTCCGTGCGCGGAGAGCCCCGGCCACGCGCAGACGCGCGGCGTTCCGGGCGCGCGCGCACACGCACACGCGCGCGGGCGGGCCTCCTCGAACACCTGCCCGCTCTCCCACCCCGCAGCTGGGAGCAGACGCTGCCCGCCCAGCGCGGTCCAGACGGCAGCGATCCTGGCGGGGAGAGACGCCCCGAGAGACGAATTCCAGCGGGTTTGTTTACACGGCGCGGGGGAGGGGGCCTGCGCTGGGTACAGGGGCTCCACTGCGAGACCCAGCCGCCCAGCCCCGGGCGCCACCCGACACCCCCTACACACAAGCCCACACCCTGCACGCCCACACACGTTCCCCCTCCTCTTCACACGCTGTGCACAAACATTAGCATACGACCGTCAAGGAGGTTCACACGCTCCCCTTCAGGCGGTTGTGGTAATACTCACAAATGTTTTCACACTTGCGCGCCCTCGCTCTCATTGACACACGCCAGATGCACATGTGTGGCTACAGTTTGTCACCCTTCCTGCCCAGACTCTCACAGCCCATATTCAAGAGCCCATTCGCACGGGGCACACACGCGTTGCATGCATACACACACACACACACACACACACACACACACACCGCGGACCCCCTCACGGCCCAGGGCCTCGTGCACATGCATTGGTGGACAAAAGCACCCTTCGCCTCGGCCTCACGCGTTACACACTCGATCACACACAGGGTCGCACTTTATTCCCAGCATCCAGGCGATGACACAATCTCTGGAACAAAGGCAACATTGACAAACCCAACAAAAACAAACAGCCGCGTGTGTGTCGGGAGGGGCAGCGGAGCGCAGAGTCCGGGAACCCGGAGGGGGGAAGGGGGCGGGAGTTGAAAGAAAATATGGGAACCCGGACGCCCGGTCCCGGGCGTGCAGATCGAGGGGGACATCACCACCGTGCGCTCTGCGCGACCCGCGGGGGCCAGCAAAGCCCAGCCCGCATCCGCGCGTCCGCAGACCCGCGTGTGCGCGCTCCTGGCCTTGTCCCACTTGCAACTCAGCCCAGGTCCCCACCCAGCACGGGCCCACGGAGCTGCACGCTGACCCACAAGTGAGCGCGCGCACAGCCCGGCGCCGATCTGCGGTCCCTGGGCTTGAGCGCGCTCCCTGCTGCACTCGGCCGCCCCCTCCCCTGCCCCCTCTCCGGCTCAGCCCCCCGGCCCCGGGGCAGCCGCGCGCCGGGCGGGGCTGCGTCCAGCAGGCGTCGCGGCTCTAGGTGCGAGGGT